TGTCCCAGTGACCCCCTACCCCATCCCAGTGAGACCCCCCGCTAGCCCACCGAGCCCCCAGCCCATCCCACCGAGCCCCCAGCCCATCCCACTGAGCCCCCAGCCCATCCCACTGAGCCCCCTGCCCAGTGTGGGCTCTGGATGTCCCGACCCCCCTGCCCTCCCCACTTTGGGGGTCCTTAGCACCCAGACCTTTCCCTCAGTGGGGGTCCCGAGCCCCCAGCTACCTGTAGAGCTTGAGGGTGATGGTGCCGTAGACGATGGCGAAGCCGAGCATCCTCACCCAGCGCAGGATGATGCAGCGGAAGATGCTCGGCTTGAAGTACATGATGAACACCTGCAGCGGCGGGAGAGAGGGATCTCGGGCTGGATCCCGGCTGCCACAGCCTCGGGAAGCACCAGCTTTCCAGGCCAGCCCCGTGCCACCCTCCCCCATGACCCTGCAGCACCCGCTGCAGCTCCTGCGGGAGGGGAGAGTGGATTTGGGCAGGGATTAATTCCCGCAGCCAGCGGGAGAAAAGGGATTTGGTTTTCTGAGAAGGTTTATACGGGCAGCCCCCAGGGACCGTGCCAGCAAAATTAACAATTTGGTGGAGCCGTGCCCGTGCCCTGCTTGGGGCAGCTCCATCCTGGAAACCCTTCCCAGCCCTGGGGACAGCTGGGACACTCACGGGGAAGTAGAGGAGGAGGGACCCGAAGAGGATGGTCTCCAGCAGGATGATTCCAGACGTCCGGATCCTCTGCAGGGATAGAATCGTGAGGGCGCAGCCTCGGGGGGATGCCAGGGTTTGGGGGGGACACGGGGACACCTTGCCTTGCTCCGTCGGAAGTGGTAGGACACGAGCATGCTGAGGAAGATGGCCAGCATGCAGCAGGCCTGGCACGACAGCACCGCTGCCCGCAGCACCTGGTCCTCCTGGATCAGGCAGGGAGTGTCGTCCTCACAGGTGGCACAGCCCGGGCGGCACGGCCGGCACCCCAGGCGGGACCCCCCGTCTGTCCCCGCCACACCTGGGGACAGAGTGATGGGTGGGTGGGATCAGAACATCTGGGTGGGAACAGAACATCCCGAGTGGGAACAGCTCATTCCAGGTGGGATCAGCACATCTGGGTTGGATCAGCACATCTGGGTGGGATCTGCACATCTGGGTGGGAACAGCACATCTGGGTGGGATCAGAACATCTGGGTGGGATCAGCACATCTGGGTGGGAACAGCACATCTGGGTGGGAATGGCACATCCCAGGTGGGCTCAGCACATTCCAGGTGGGATCAGCACATCTCAGGGCACCCCCCACACCAGGGCACGTGCCCTGTGTCCCCAAAGCCCCCCGGCCCTGGCCCCCAGTGCTGTGTCCGCGTGGGGACAACGGGGACAATGGGGACCCACCTGCCCAGGCACCGCTGGCCACTCCGCCGGCCCCATAAAAACCCGACTTGCACCTGCACAGGTACCTCCCGAGGACGAAGCCGCGGCTCTCCTGGGGGACACACTGAAGGAGACAGCCTGAGACACGTCCCCCACCCCCTGCCACCCCCCCGTCCCCAAACCCCCCCGCCCCAGGGGCTCCAGCAGCCCCCAGCTCAGGGACACCTGACCCCACACCATCCTCCCCCACAGCCGTGAGGAATCAGTGGTTAAACATTTCAGAATTAAAAGCCAAAGCTTGGCCCCAAATCCCTCCCTAAAACCTAAATGGACACCTAATGCAGCCGAGCGCCCTAATCCTGCCCGGCCGTGACGGCAGCCCCGGGCCTGGCCCCGCTCCCTAATCCCCCGCGGCCGCATCCAGCCCCGAGCGGGCCGCGCTCCCGGGCATTGTTGTTCCCTGGAGGGATGCCCGGAGCACAGCCCGGCCCTCTGCAAGGCATCGCTGGGCAGGAAACAGGAGCTGGCGACGCCTTTCCCTCCTGGGAACAGCTCTGGATGGGACCCCCGAGGTTGGGGGGCTGCGGGGTTCGCTCTGCCTGGGGGTGCCAAGCCCCCCTCGGGCTCCGCTGTCTCGCCCCCCGGGGTGGGGTGATGCTGTCCCCGCCGTCCCTGCGGTGGCCGGGCAGGGAGCAACCGGGTCACACGGCGGTGGGGAGGGAAGATTTGCACAATAAACCTCTCGCCGCGGTGCGAGAGCAGCTGAGCGAAGCAGATGGATCGGGAGAGAGGATAAAGCTCAGACCGGAGGGAGGGACGCGGGGCCCGGGCAGCCCTGGGGGTGGTTGGGTGCGGGGTACCCCGGTCCTGGCGGGGTGCGGGGTGCCAGGGGCCGGTACCTGGCTGCTGTTGAGGTCACAGCGATGCGTGTCCGAGAACCAGCCCGGCCCGCTGGAGCACTGGTCGATGGCCACATCCCGCAGCTCCACGTCCACCCGCACGACCCCCCTGTGACCAGGGACGGGGTCAGGGCAGGGGGTGGCGTGGGGCATCCCTGTCCCCCAATCCTCCCCGTGCCCCCCACCCGAGCCCCAGCGCTGTCTCTGGGCCAGCCGCGGTGGAGCTGGAGCACGGGGGGGGACAATGACAGCGGTCAGCGATGTCCCCAGAGCCCCGGACAGGGGACAGCTGTCCCTCGGAGCCGTGTCTGGGCTGGCTGGAGCCGGGGCAGGGGCAGAGGCAGCAGCTCCTGGGTGTGAATTCCCTCGAGAGGGGTTTTAATGCAACCCATCGGGAAATGGGGGCCGCCGGGGCGCCCCCCACGTGCCCCGCGGGACCAGCGCTCTCCCCTGGGGTCTCCAAAGGGGACACGGATTTCCCCTTGGAAATGGGGCCGTGTCCCCGCTCTGGGACTCCTGCCCTCCCCAGCGCCTCCCTCTGTGGCTCCTCGCGCAGTGGTGACCCCCCCAATCCCGGGGACACCCCCAGCTCCCAGGAGGGGTCCCAGCCCGGCTCACCCACCCCCAGCGCGGCAGTGTCAGGGGGGTGGCAGCGCAACGTGGGCAGCACAGGGGACACCGAGAGGGGACAGGGATCACCCCCGTGCCTGGAGATGTGTAAAAACACCCGCAGGCACACTCAGAGGGACACGGGCAGGGCGCTGGGCACACCCCGGGCCGGGTGACACCTCCAGCTGCACCCCCAGCACTCACACACAGCCCCCCCAAACCCCTCCGCGCTCCGCTTACTTGAACTCGGGGCTGAGGTCCGGCTTGAGCCCGTAGAAGGCGGAGGAGAGCGTGACCGCCCAGGCGGGCAGGAACCGGCCCTCGCGGCACTCCAGGAACGGCGGGGACCAGCGCACGTGGCCCGGGTCCCCCACGTAGCTGTCCCCCCGCTGCCACTTGGGGGTCTCCAGGCTGCGCAGGTCATTGCTGAGCACCCGCTTGCGCAGCGCCGGCGCCCGCTGCGACTTGAGCGCGTTGAACCACTCGTTGTCCCAGCTGAGGTTGCCCAGGCTGGGAGCGGAGTTGGAAACGTCTTGCAGCAGGATCTGACCGTCCCCCTTGGTGGCCTGCAGCATCAGCCGGGGCTTGGGGGCCAGCGGGTGGGCGTCGAGGGCCAGCACCGCCCTGCGCACCCACGGGTGCCCCTCGGCCAGGCTGCGGACCAGCGCCTGGTACCACTCCACGTCCTCGGCCACGCTGGCCTCGCGGATGTCGTTGGTCTGGAAGAGCATGTTGAGGAAGTTGGCGGCGTGGGCCAGCGCCTCGGGGGCGGCTCGCAGGGCTGCCCGCAGCGCCGGGGGGGGCCCGGCCCCGGGGGCTCCGGTCGCCACGGCCCCGCTGCAGTTGGCCCGGGCCAGGCGCTCGGCATCGCCCGTGCGCAGGAACGCCAGCGCTGCCGCCGAGCCCTCGCTGCCCCCCGCCGCTCCCGGCTCCAGGGTGGGCGCCCAGGAGGATGAGGGGGCCGGGGCCCATCCCGCCGGCCGCGGGGGTCTCTCCTGCGGGCGCTGCCCCGCCGTGAGCGCGGCGATCTGCGCCAGCACCGCGTGGAAGCAGCAGAGCAGCGGCCACCGGCACGGCCCCATGGCTCAGCGGAGCCCCCCGGCCCCCGGCGGCCCCCCCGGCCGGCCCGGGGGGCGCATGGCGGGCAGGGACCCCCGAGCTGCCCGGAGCCGGCCCCGCGCTCTGCCGCTCGTTCTTCTCCCTCGGCGATGCCGGAGCAGACGTCACCGGCTCCAAACCGTGTTCAGCGGCTGGCGCTGCCCGGAGCCCCCCCCGCCCGCCCCCGCGCTCCCGCTCGGGCCGCAGCGCTGCCCGGAGCCCCCCGGTCTGAGCCCCGTGGGGACCCCGCACCCCGAGGGGACCCCGCGCTCCGGCTCCTCGGGCCGGCCGTGATGCAAGCGCATCCTGATGGGAAGCCATGGCAACGGGAACGGGAATTTTCCTGCCCGTATCTCCCTCCCCGCGGCCCCGCGGCAGCCGGGGGGAACGGGGCGCCCGCGGGATCCCCGTATGGTCCCGGGATCCAACCCCGCAGTGCCCGGCCGTGGGGTGGGAATGGGGGGTGGCATCCACGGGGGGTGTCCCTGTGGGGCCGGGGGTGGTGGGTGGGGGTCAAGAGGAGGATCTGAAGCCCACCCCCCACGTGTGATGTCCTGCGCAGCAGACCCGGGGTGCAGAGGGGAAACTGAGGCACGGGAGGGTGCTGACTTTCCTTGCTCCAGCCTTAAGCAACGATGACCTTCCCCAGCCCCAGCCCGCGGGGGAGCGTGGGGAGAGCCGGTCCCCGTCCGCTCCGCTCCGGTTGGGACGCGCTGCCCGCCAGAACCGGGCAAGAACCGCGCAGAGCTGGCGGTGCGAAGCGCCGCGTGCCCGTGCCTCAGTTTCCCCCACCGCATCCCCCGGTCCCGGCGCGGGGGATGAGTCCGGTGGGTCACGGCTGGAGCTGCGTGCCCGGGAGCCCTCGCTGCCCCCCGGCCCCACCATCCGTGACCCCCCCGCCCCGTGGCTGCCGGGACCGCCGGTGGGTGCCGGGGTTCGGAACCGGTCCCGCCCCTGGGTACTGGGGGCTCGGAGCGGCTCCCGGTGCTCGGAGCAGGTCCCTCCGTGGGTACCGGAGCCACCCGTGGGTGCCGGTGCCGCCGGTGGGGGGTCGGAGCGGTTCCCGGTGCTCGGTGCGCGTCCCCGCGGCCCCTCCACGTGCGGTCGGGGGGGGCTCGGGGGCGCGGCCTCCGCACCGGGGCGGGACCAAAACCACCGGGAGAGGCGGGACCGGCACCGGGGGGCGCGGCCAGCGGCGGAAGCGCGGGGGCGGGGCGGCGGCGGCGGTGGCTTTAGTGGGGGGGGGA